CAAAATGTTTCGAGTCGAAAGACCCAATTCTTCTACTAGAATTGTGGTGCGTTGCTTTTACCGAAATCTAGATGTGCTACGGCCTAGAGTTGTCTGCATAGTGACCATAACAAAGGGAATTTTTTGCCGATTTGCTACATGTTTTTTGTGCTGTGGACTAGAAATAGATCAAAACACGTTTCAAAATATTTAACAATGCAAGCCAAAAGCATGGGCCAACCCAGATAACATGTCTAAAAACTTAGACTACAACCTGCCGGGGATTTTGATACCGTCATTTTTTCAACTCTGGATCCCAGGGCCCAAAACGATTTATTGTGCGATTTTGCATATTACGCAAGTGCAAAAATGCATATTATCAAGAGATTGTCCGTGAGTGTACGTGTGTGTGCGGAAGCGGGTGGACTTTGTCACCCACTTTTAAGTCATCAACCAGGAAAACTGGGAGGCTTAAAATTTGTAGCATCTTTCCACGCTATGTGTCACCTTCCGTTCGAAAATCATCACTCATGCGTGTCTAAATCTCGCGTACGGACCTCTTAAAGAAATATGTAAATTTTTTGCTTTTGTAAACCAGTGAACGAAGGAAGCTGGAGATTTGCAAAAATATTCAAGTTCAGCCTTTGCGCATGCTTGTGTCATGTGTACTATCTGAAGTTGACATTACGCTAATTTGAAAAGTTGCCCGAAAACAATAACTATAATTTTGCTAGGATATTTATCATCCATCTAAGGAATCACATCTCTAAATCGAGTTTCGAATTGCACTTGCGCCACGACTTAAAGCACACCAAAGATATTTTTAGCAAAGTGGCTATGTCGCTTACCAGACAAACCACGAGACTGGAATTTTGCAAGGATATTCTATATACACATTTGACCTAAATCCAGTTTAGACGCTAAATTCCCTTCAAACGAGCATACATACTCACCGCAGCCTCAAAAGCGAGTTCATTTCGCAGATTTTGTAATTCTTCTCTTCCAATATCCCGTTGATGAATAAATTTGCATTTTTTGGTAAACGGCCAGCCACCGAAAATCATTCATTTCCGTTTTTGAACCCAGGCTGGAACGCACCAGGCGAGCCGGTGCGATCATACGTTTTTGCATCAAACTTTGAAGTA